TAGAGACAAGGAGGTCGTGTGGGAAAGTGTCAAATGTCTTCTTCCCTGGAGCATTCCACAAGCTTAGATGCAAAGATCATTTGCTTCCAATTCTTTACAAAGCCGGTTACTGTGTAGCAAAATTAATATGGTTCAAAGAAGAACAGGAATAATTAAGCCTTTCTAAGTAGACTACGATTTAGAATACCGAAGGACAATTCCTAGATTCTTTTCTATATTATTTCGAACTTTGAGGTTTTTATACATGAAAATCATATTTTGAGGCACCACCTGTCCTTAAAAACCACTGAAAAATTGCAGCAGTTCTGGAAAAAAAAGACCCAAGAAACATTTAATGAGACCTCATAGGTTAGAATAGTGAGTGGTCTCTTCAAAATATTTTTAAAGTTACCTTTACGAGATCTCTTAGCCTATCTAAAGGCAAAGGTTCTGTGCAACTTTGTGTTATGCTTACATCTTCACTTCCATTAAACCATAAGCCAACCTGATTAAAAAAAAAAAAAGGCAATTTATTTTTACATAGTCAAATACGTTGGTCTTCATGCTCTATAACTGTTCAACAGACAGATAACTAAGAGCTTAGCTCCTGAGCTTAATTGAGCTGAATTTGTTGTTAACATACAATGACATCAGAATAATTGAATAACTGTTTGTACCTTTTAACAGATACTTGGGAATTACTGAAAATGCAGTAAGACAGGAGTGACTCTATGCTCTTGAAAAAGTGAAAATGGAGTAGGTAATTGTAAACCTACACTGCCCAAGCAGCAGAATATGATGCTGAGTTTCTATGTGTGTTCTGCTTTCATCCTTTTAGGATATCCTTTGCTACATCATAGCTTTTGTTCTAGCTGTACTCCTGGAAGAAACTATCCACACACTCAGTGTAATGAAGAGGCATGGCCCTTCCTATGCTTCCTTGCTCTCAGTAAGACAAAGTGTCCTGCAATGCCTACAAAGCTATACCTACAACTGTGCCCAGAACCAGTTCTCCAGTACTAGACCCAACACACAGGAAATATCACCTGGAGCTTATCTTCTAAAATGGGATGGCCATGAACAGACTGCCTACAGAAAATCTCACTTGCTTGGAACTGGTGCATGTTAAACCAAGCCAGGTTTAACATGTAAATAACATCAAAGTATGTACAGCTGAGTACCATTACCTGGGGATGTTCACTAGCAGTGTATAGTTTATTAGTACAGCTGCAGATAGAGGGGCCAGCTGGGGCACCTCAAATTCCCAGTGGAGGGTTCTTCCTTTTATTCTCAGTAAACATGCTTGTCATTATTTCTTATTAATTTAGTAAAATAAAATAAATAGTTTCATGACATTTTGAATGCATGTAAGTTTCAGTATTAAACAGAGAATAAAGTTTGTTACCATTTTTATTGAAAGATTTTAAAGTATGAAAAAAATCTGTGTTCCCTATTATATTCATAGACTGATATGAAAGATTTCAAATAATTGGAAATCTTCATGAAACACAGTTGTTAATGAGATGCAATAGTCTTTCAGTGTAGGCATTAACTTAAAATATTGTAACAAAGCTATAAATTTCATTAGCAATATCCTTTTCCACATTTCAGGTGAATTACTAGATTCTTCATTATATAAAATATTCCATTACTATGTTTTTTCTTTACAAAGCAAGATAATGAAATAGTACAAACAGGAAGTTCCAAGAGATCTGCAGAAAGGAAAAGAAATTAATAAATCTATTTTTCTGCTATTTCCTTATGTGAGCTAGCTGGGAAAACTGGAAAATTAGTAACAAGACAAAAGACTTCATGTTATCTTCGAAATCTTTACCAGAAATAGATCAAACAGTTTGCTGTATACGGTACAATTACAGTATCAATGATAACACTTGATAAACAATAATTTTGCTAACTCTCTGCTATTGTTCTTTTCTTAATTTTATGCACTGCACTGAATCATTAATTCTCTAGTGCACTATGTTCCACAGGAAGTGAATCATCATTTTTTCAAGAAAGAAATGAATAAGAAAGAAATGAAACAAGGACTGATCTCATAAAATTTGCCATAAACTGGTCTAAAGGATACAACAAATATTGCAATAAAAAAAAAAACAAAAAACAAAACGCAGATGTTTCTCATCAATTTATTTTAAATTAGAGGACTAAATTTTACTCAAGTCTGAAAAATTATCTTCCCATTCTCATAATTGTATCTGCAAAATTTCCAAGTCACAGTACTGTCAGTAACATGAACTCTAGGACCTTGTATGCCTTGCTTTGTAAAGAAAACACATAGTATACATCTTGTATATATAGATACACAAGGTTTTCATGAGGTTTTAAGTGAAGAATATTTTGGTCATTTTCAAAAATGAAATAGAGGTGACAGACATTACAAGTTTTATTTGATATAAATTGGTTTCAGAGCAATCCTTCTGAGCAAAGCAGAATGATGAACTGAGTTGCTTTGGATAGTCTCTGGAGGTTCCCATAACATTCTCTTGTGCACCTAAGTTATGTGCCTACCGATACAGTTCTCAAACAGATAGCTGTGGAGCTACATATGTGTTTACGAACTTTTTAGCCCTTTTTAGTCTGTAAGCAACTGTATAGACTGTAGGTTGAGAGTCATCACTCTGCTGGAAGTCTTGAAGAACAAACAGAGGATAAGCCTACAAACAAATGAGCATACACCATTGCATATTTACTATTATTAGCTGAATGTGAGCAAATTCCAATCCTGAAGTAATATATTGCACAGTTAGTATTATATTTGAACTAGGATCCTGTGTTAGAAATTTGCATTCGCAGTCTGCATATCTTGTAACTGTTAGCTTATTTTTAAGCTCTAACACTTCAGTAAAAATCACCACATCCATAAATAACATGCATCAATAAATAATCTGCATCAGTCTAATAGATGCAGATAGACTTGCACATTTTGTGGGGTTTCTGGCTTTGCAGAACTTGTTTCTTTGCAACTTTTGGGTGCGTAGGGCTTGGCAGGCACTCCTGGAACTTTTAAATTAATGAAAATAGTTCTGAAACTGACATACATATATCTACATGTATATAGCTACAAATACATATGATACGTATAGCTAGTATGCATTAAAAGAGTGAACCAGCAGTCATCTGAAGCATGATTAAGAATCTAAAGCAAAAGTAAGTGAAAATTTAAGAGATGAATTTTGCTAAAGGAATAAAAATGTATTCTTAGTACTCTTTCAGGAAACTTGTTCCTGAAAAGCATTGGTGAACTATGCAATGGTGTCAAATAACTTCATAGTAGTCAAAGTGGTCACAGAATAGTTTCTTTTAAACAGGAAGGATTTTCACTTGAAATATACTTTTGGGGAAGTAGGAAATGGAAGTAAGAAGTAAGCTTAATTAGATTTGTGGAACTATGGCTAAGATGAGTATTAGGCCTTCAGTTTCTTGAAGACACTAGAAAGCATGCTCAAAACCCAAAACATTCAAAATTCAGACTTAGTTTCTGAATGTGAATAAACCAAATAATGCATCATTCAGTTCAGAGTTTAACAAAAGACTATTATTCAAAAAAGAAAAGAATTATAACCTGCATATAGTATTCCTGTGTAACAAAGCCTGATGAAGCTACATCAAGAGACCTGAAGCTGTGCAGTGTTTTGAGAAGTTGTATCACAGATGGTACTGGCCAAGGCTGTGCTGCTGCTAGCAAGAATCTGCGCCAGTCAGTAAGTTCTGAGTTCACGGAGAATGCAGATGCCAGATTTTGTAACTATAAAAGCAAAAATCATCACTATTGTCAAATACGCATGCATAAACATACTCTTGCAATATGCTGTGTATACTTAGGTCTTTTACCTGGTTAGGAGGGACAGGACTTCAACAGTGAGATTTCAAAGATGAATAAAGGACATGTACCACTAAACAAAACAAGACATAGACCACTGTCCGTCACTGAGGCCAATTGGTATTTGCAGTTGATATCCCTCTAAATAAATACTCTAGCTTCCTAAACAGGGGCCTGTATCTATGCTGCCTATGAAAAAATGGCCCTTACTACATGCTAACTCCTGAACTGTGTTCCATCTGGGATAGTGCTAAAAATGGAACCGACAGTTTAACAGCGTGTGTACAAAAATCTAGTAAATGCTTGGGCCTGTGCCTTGGCCCTATTTTGCTTACTCTTCCAGGTGACTGCCATATGGCTTTCCCCTGCTCCAGTGTTATTTTCAGTTAGAAAAATAGTAGTGGAAAAGCTGCTTTGTCAATTGCTGCATGTGTCTTTTTACCACTGAAGATGTATGTGGGTAGCAAAGTGGGATACAGAACACCAATAAAATACCGTAAGATCTCCTGACACAGCATTGCAAAGGCTGTACCTGGTTGAAGAAAAAAAATTGGCACAGTTCATTTCTGCACTACTGTTGTGTTTAGACCCTACTGTGTACCTCTACACTATCTTCTGCCCCACAGCCAGATTTCCTTGTCAAGGGAAGTGCCTGGTTTACTCCAGACTGGAGTTCAAGAAGGAAGGAATATTTTTACAGGAATAAGGGCCTGGGGCAACACAGACACTTTGGTAATGCTGTAGATGTCAACTGCCCCAAGATTGGCAGGTACCATACCACTTTTTATAAATTTAAAACTTACTTGAAATTCTAATACGTCACCAATTATGAAATGGGGAGTTCCATTCAGAACAGCTTGTGCAGAATAAACCTGTATCTTAGCTTATGGTTCATGCATTTCCTTTTGTAAGTTCTTGCTTTTACCATAAATTTAAGAGTCTCATTTTAAAATGGTGTTTTTAAGGAAAGTATGTTTTTGAATCCAAAATAGTACTCATAAGCACTGAAAGTTCTCAAAGAATAAAGAACATAGGATATATGTGCACATGACCTATTAATACACAATGTTCGACTCATATTTTTCCCCCTATAATTAATTTCCTGTGCTAAGATTAGATTTTGATTTACTGATGATAACTGTGCTTAATTTTTACTAAACTCAGTGGGAATCTACCACTCAGAAACTTTCAAATTCTTTACTAGTGCTGTTCATCTGTGTGCAAAATATTTGAATAAAGCTGTTTCCCCTCTTGTAAAATCCAAATAAAATCCTAATGTGAATCATGGCTTACTGACAGAAATAATTATAAAAAATATGCTAAAACAAGTAAACCTTTTCATAGATTTATAGGCTTACCAACAACACCTGGAAGTAAAATTAATCAGAGGATTCACTGGTGGAAGATTTGGTAAGACTAAACTATAATTTCCCATGTTCCTAAATCTGAAAAAATCTTGAATAAATAAGGTCATACAGCTACAGATTTTATTCTCCTGTCTTGGAATGAAGAACATAAACAGTCTCCATTCAGCTAGAAATAATTTTTCAATGGTTTCTAGGGAATTGCTTTCTCAAGTGAAACAGAAGAATTTTAAGGAAAAAGTGATAATGCCTTATAATAGTTATACTCTTGACTTTATCATAGTAAACACAATGCTGCATCTTCTACACAAACCAATACTTCAGTTGAAATGAAAATATTAGTAAACTTACATGTGGAAACGTTAAGTTCATCCATGCATCAGGAAGGCAATTTGCTCCAAGGTTCAAATTAATCATGTCAATAAATACGCCAATAAATGCTTTCTTTTGCATAAAACCTAATAAAAGAAAGTCAATATACCAAAAAAAAAAATTACTGTTTTAAATGGACTTCTTTTGTTAAATGAAATCTATTTTTTACTTTAATGGCCATATGGGAAAATATTTTATTTTGCTATTTTGTACTATTGATAGTGGTAGTATATTTCAAGCTAGGCACAGAATTTTCTTATTTAAAATAAACCATACATGGCCTTTCTAATACGAAAATGTTAAATATTCCAATACACTGCAATTCTTTTGATACTTGTCCTCATCATCATCGTGGTCACTAACCCATACTCGCACAGTCTACACTGACAGTTAATGAGCAGTTCATGAATACAAATCAAATATATATTTTACTATCCTTCTCTTTCACTGTGCCATTTTAATGAATCGAATCATAAATCTATCTCTACTCCTGAAAGTAAGCATCCAGTTAGAGAACAGGATGGAAAACACGAATTGTTGTCTGTTAAACTTTGAAACAAAACCGAATTGCTTAAAAAGCTTCTTAGAACTGGCTTGTGGGAATTATAACTAATTCTGTCAATTTCATTTTAAAGAAATCATATGATAAAAATAGGTGCAACAAAACCTACTTCGTTTTTTAGGATTACATAGATTTGCGTATATGCAAATAGAATCTTCAAACTTCATGCTCAATATTATAACACAAAATTATGTATACCAGCATTTAACAGACTCATGAGAGTCTTTTCTTTCAGAAATGGACTTTGCTGACCTAGTGAGGGTTTACTGTGAAATCTCTGCATTAATGACAAAAAGAAGAAAAAAAGTAAAGTTTCAAATTATCTAAATTTTGAGAGGAAAAGCTCATTTCGTCAGGTTATAATCATTTCTATAGCATCAAAAAAGTAAGTTTACAGGTCACTTTTAAAGCAAACACAGTAAGTGAAATACTGGAAGGACTTACTTTTTTTTTCCTTTTTACAGCCAAACTTGTCATTTTGAAAAAACACAGCTGTATGCAGTCTATGGTCAACAACTTTTCTTTGAAGTGGAGTAGGGAAGTGAAATTTGTTAAGTTTATGAAGCAAGATTTAAGTGGTAGAAATATTAAGACTGTGTTTGAAAATTAATTTCATAATGTCAGTATCAAAAATCAAGTTTCAAGTTGCCAATTTGAATTAATAGTCTACAATCTCTGTAGGTGTGTTCATCTCCAAGTTGGAAAACCAGAAGTAATGCCCTCAGCACATTTTAATGCAACAGAGAAATCCAGTACATATATAAGTTTAGAAAGAAGAGGAAAAGAATATAGATTTGGGAAGCTTAAAGTTTGTCGGGAAAGCAAGAAAGCAGGGAGAAACACCTGGACTTGAAGCCATATGTTCTACTATAAATTTCAGCATGAAAGTAAAAGCTGGCAAAAAATACTGGGAAGCTGATAACAGTGCTCTGATGTCACCTCTTGAAGGATTTTTTGTTACCTACTTTGAGAAGGAACGTTCTGTGATAAAGCATGTGCTGTTTACTGAAGCACATTGTATTGCAGATTTAATAATTTTAAAGTAACCAGAAACTTGTATTTTGATGAGAACCTCAAGCCACAAGAATCAGTTGATTTCCAGATGGCACAATACAGCCCACCTCACAGAGGTATCATTACTGAGAGACTTCATACAACATTCAATAAACCATGTAACTTTTTCGTGGTTCAAGGAGAGAATAGGCTATGGGCCACTAAGGAGCCAATGAAAACTTTGTATTAAAATAACAGGAAAAAATATTAAATCTTATTTGTCATCTCAAATTTTCTAGTGCTTTACCATGAAATAATTTTTATTTCATGCTTTACTAAAGATTTCCCTTCCCACATCTGATCCCTAGTAGTCTGGAAATCTAACTTTTTTCTCTCACATTACCTTATGGTTTAAACTGTTCAATTCCTACTATGATTTCCTATATGACCATATGACCAAAAAATGCTGTTTTCATACCTTTGAAGTAAGTGTGAAGGAACAACCATTTCTTTCTTTCAGAACTAAGCTACTTTCTATATATTAATCATAGAATTGCTGATATGCTGTAGGGTAATTTCTTTTCATCTACAACCTCCTCCTGAAATACCTGATGTGGGTCAATTTCAAAGTGTCCTGAAAAAGCTATAATAGTTCAAAAACTTCAAATTGTGTGTGACCTAATTCCTCCTCATGAAACACCTATGAAACAGGAATGAGGAAATCTCAGAGAGAGATGAAATCCCTCATAAGCATATAACAAAGATATCAAATAAATAACTTTTCTCAATGTATTTTTAGATATTTTGTCTCAATTGAATGTATTTGATTTTATATCATAGAGCATGTAACTGGTTTTGAATAGCTGATTGCATTACAAGACAAAAGGTGATTCATCAATTTAATTTCGGGCTTGCCATTGCTTTATTATCATGGAGAGATGCTATGATAGGGTAGCTACACAGATGGTCCTGAGAAAAGAATATTGGTGTCTGCAAACAGAACTCTGCAAATGGTAAAAGGAAATAATGTCCTCTGGGAAAGAATGTGAAAACAATTCCCAGAATCAACTTTGCCCACCTGAAGACTAGTTTCTAAAAAAAAAGAAACCAAACCACCCAGTGGGTTTTTCTTGAATGATGTAGGAGACTGAATAGAAAATGAACTTATTAAATGTGTAGAGACACTTTTAATTAGAATGGATAGCAAACATTTGGAAAAATAATCAGAATTCAGGATTTTAAAACACCAGAGAGATGTTCAATATCACTCAGTAAATTTCACTGGAAACAGATCAAAGTACTTTGTGGGAACAGACTGCACAAATTAATACACTTATTACATTACAGATGAAAACAATCAGGAAAAAACTTCAAGCACATTGGAAACAGGATTAGAATTCATATTAAGCTTTACAAATTGGAGATACAGACTAGGATTAAAAGGACACTATACAATAAGAATAAAAGTCAAGTGCCACGCTGGGCTGAAATAATGAACTGCATAAACATGCCAATGGGGTTTTTCTTGCCAATGTAAAATTTCTGTAGAAAAGGCTCTTGGGTTTATGGCAGATTACAATATTGCCAGAAAGTAGATGGGAATACCCTGGAAATAACCTGTGCATTCTTCTAATCTGTTAAGTCTTCTGCTGGCATACAATTTTGAAATTTACAGATAGAGAAGGACATGAAAACTAAAGAATGCCCAGAAGAAAGCAACAAGAGTCATCGCAGACCTAGAAAACATGTCCTAAGAGCAAGGTTGAAGGAATTCTGCTAGTTTCATCTACGAAAGGAATGTTAGGAGAAAACGTAGCATTAAAAGTTAGTTACAGAGAGAATAAGGATAACTCCCTCTCCATAGTTAGGAAGAATGGTAGGAAACAAAATTTATCTGCAGCAAAATATTTCAGATAGTGATAAAACCCCATATAACCAGAAGGACACCAAATCACCAAGGAAAACAAACCACACATTCTACAGTGCACTATTTTAAAAGCTTATGAAAAAACATCGAGGGCAAATACTGTATACAAATTTTCTGACTAAATTTGATCCCATTTTTAGACATGGATGACTTCTTGATATCCATTTCCGACTACTTGTTATGATACTAAGAGTTTGCTAGTATTTTTCCAAAGGCAACGTATCCATGAATGGTTGGATTTGATGATCTTAAAGATCTTTTCCAATCATCTAGTTGATTCTATGATTATCTTAAATCCTAATACTAAAAATGTGATGCTGCCCCCATGCATCAGGGAAGCGACTTCAGTGTTATGGATTCTAAACATACTTTTGTTTGTTACTTTATCTTTAGTCTTCTGCTGTTGGACATTCTGGAGACACATTTCAAACTTTTTCTAATATCATTGTAGTTAAAATCTTCCTATTTGAAAACCTTGAGGGGAAAAACTTAGTATTACGTGATTAAAGAGAAAAACCTTTGAACTGGCAATGCCACATATTCAATACGGTATGTATAACACCTATTCTGTCACTTATTAGGTAAAACATAATTAAACACTTTTTTTTTATCTGAGAAATCATAAATGAAGATTTTAATGATGGATCTTTTATAAACAAGTGTGTAACACACAGTACTGATCTCTTTTTCTGATTCCCTACAGATTAACTCTACTTGAATGGACTAACATCCTTTAATGAGGGATTCATTCAAAACCTACTCTATTTCTGACATAATGTTTAGGCCTAGAAGTAGCACAAATATATATGCAAAACACACAGAAAAAGACTCTCTCTATATGTGTTAGTAGAGCATAGCATAGCATACCATAGCACAGCATAGCATGTCTTCTGCAATTACTAGACATGTTTTATATTGAAAGCACCCAGTTGATCTTGGTTTTGAAAGGGTTGGGTAATGTGAGGTCATTCACCACTGCTGGAAGGGCTAAGAATGATTTCACATTAGCTATCTTTTGATATAAATCAATGCTTTTTCCTTGGTGGAAATATATTCTGCTGGTATGCTTTACGTTGATTGGAAATTATAAAGTAGGAAGTGCATTTAGAACATGTAAAATTATGAAATCAGATACTTCTTTAAACAATTCTCATTCTCAACTCCTAGATTAAAAATTAAGATAGAGCATTCTTACTGCAACCTTTACAAACATTTTTACAGGGGGAAAAAGTGGTTAAAGTTGTGAAGCGTATTAGTCATATTCTGGCTGTAAGAGTATTTGCTATGGGAAGACTGATATGTGTGATAAATAATCAATAGAAAAATGGAAAGGAAAGGACTTCCTTTTGAAGTCCAAGACTGACAAAAATCTGTGAAAGGTCATGTTAAAACTTTACCCACAAGCGAGTAAAAAGTAGCAACACATACAGATATGGAGAGAAGATATGATCCAAAATTCATAGGCCACAAATGTCAACCAACCATTTGACAGAAATAAGGCACTGATTTTCCACACATTTATGAAAAGAAAATCTGGGGTTTCAGAATCAATGAAGCTTCTCAAACTATTGAAGTCTGAGATGACGGTTAACCCCAGTGGTTAT